CCTGATCCTCAGATAGAAAATCACCATGTACGTGGTCTGTATCTGGAGAATTTTTGATTTTGTTGAACGGTTCTTTGTGATATCAGTAACATCTTATTAGGAACTGTTGAGCCTTGATGCTTTCTACATGGGCTTTATAGCACTGTGAGGGTTACACATAAGAGCATTTGTGCTTACTGCTAAGCAACGTGTGTGTATTTTTACATATTCAATACATATTTTTAATGCTTCATTGTGCTGTATTTACCCTATGTATGCTGCATATGCCTCCACTTTATTACCTGTGCAGTCCAATGCAGTCCAACACAACTCCTCTGCTGTAAAGTCTGCCAGTTATTCACCAGTGTCATCAAGGTTGTTAATTCAAATATATGTTCTAGCACTGAGGTTACAGTCACTAATATTCAGAGGTGGTTTTAATATTCTGCCCTCCACATGTAAGTAAATGCTGAGGACACAGAAACACCTCTCAGTTTAATGTCATCCATTCCAACGCCAGCTTACAAATCGACATTCTCAACAACCGCATGTTTTGTCTTTAACTTCTCATGTAGTCATTTATTCCTCTATTCTTGGCTTCTCTATCGCCCTCCACTGTATGCATGCATTCACGTAACCACAATGACAAGCCGATGAATATTTTAAAAAATGACCAATTGTTCTCCTGCACTAGCCTCTGAAATGGGAAGATTTTATGACTGTGACCTCATCGGTCTGGCAAAAAACATCAATCAGTTAATCAATACAGTAAAAGGCAGCGAAGGCGTTCAGAATCCTGAACCACGTAGAACCCTTCAGGTTTCCTGCTTTCTGAAATGTCTGAAAAGCACCTTTACGTGGGGACTCGCTGGAGCTTGATCCCACGCATTAATTATAAAGCCATAAAGAGCCTTTTACTGGTCCTATCTTTCTCCGAGAGAGCGCAGCGACTGTCTCGCTTGCCTCCTTCATCTGTCTTGTCATCGGCTTTTCTGCCGGCTGCTCGCCATCAGCTGCCCTTCCCACCTCCTTCCTCCTCCTTCCACCTCTCCTCCTGCATTCCTTCCCCCCCTCATCTCTCTCAGACTGTCCTTGTCTCCGTCTTTGTTGCCCATCCCCCGCCTCCTCCGCCTCATTGACTCTCCTCATCCTCCTCCTTACCTGTATTTTTATTTTTTTGTTGCATCCTCCTTTCATATCTGTTTATCTCCCTCTCTAAGACATTGGAGACTCAGTTTGTGCCTCTCATTTATTTTCGAGCATCTGATTTTTCCCCTGGATAAGATTTAAATCTTTAAAAGAAACCAAGAAGGTCATTCGACAACACTTTCTGCTGTTCTGGAAGTATTTGCAAAGTGAATGTGCAGCATAATAAAACCTGCTTCTCAATTTGTGTCACTGTTTCCAGTCCTAGACGTTAATGAACGGCATGTTACGTCCTCGCTCTTACAACGCTGTAAAATAGGATCAATATGTGCTCATGTGCTGAAATGTGGTCTTTGTTTGATTTAGGAAACGGTGGTGCTATTTGAGTAACACATCAAAAGTCTCGTTTTAGATCTTTAACCTGAGGATTCACCGTCCTATCTGGTTCCGTTGAACAACCTTCTGCGCCGTCGTACAGGATCTACATGAGGAATGAACCGGGCCCGCCTCTTAAAACAGCAATGATTTAAACCGTAGCCTCCCATTTACAACCTGATGCTTCTGCTTCTCTGACATGAATCTGGCTCGTGTGTTCAGAACGATGCGACTCGCTTAGCTCACTGAAAAATTAAAATACGATCCCAGCCAATGTGTTTCAGATGTTTTTCCAGCCTTTATTTACCGCATGTGAGAGCGATAAATGTCACTGCGAGACGCGAGAAGTTATTGTGAATAACAATTCCAGCAGTCAGGGAACAACAATTGCCTCATTTTTCTTTGCTCCCGTGAAGGACACATGCGGTTGTTTTCTCCGCTTTCATGTTTCCCCCCAAAAAAATCTTCTACTGTTATTCTCCTGTGAGCTCCTGACATTTTACTGAAGCTTCTCTTGCATCATTTCCAAACTTCTGATCCAAGACATTTAAACATTTCTAATTAGGATTAAATTGTAGATTTAGAATTGAGCCAAAATCAAAAGTTTAGGTTGCAAAATCTCCAGCCTTCCTCGAACCAAACTGAGACGCTGTAGTTCAGCGGTTCCCAAAAAGAGTCCACGGATCTCCTCTCTTCAGATCATTAAACATCTTCTAGATTCCTCCTGTTTCCTCACTTTAAATTAGTTGTCAACAGTAACAGCAACATTTTACAGTTAAAATATGACCTCGCTTTCTGGTGGGAAAATTCTGTAATGGAGACCTTAAACATATGTTTTATAAACTGTGATAATCGCCAAGACCGCTGATGTCTCCCTCAGGCTTGAATTCCCTCACCTGGTATCTACATTTTTATAGAAAAATCCTAATGTTCTGTGAGTCAGTCACAGGAAAGATGCTCTCTACAGCAAACGGCCGGCTCAAATCTACAGCCAGCTTTCCATCTCCCACCCATTGGAAGAAGAAGACGAGGAGGAAGAAATATTGGACCAAGATGAGTCTGCTTCACAAGTCATTATTTTTCGCTACCGCCTGGGGCTGAGGAAGGTAATACTGACGTCGCTTTAAATTTAGGAGACTGTCCTGAGCTGAAAGCACAGAATTGCTTCTGCCGTTTTCAAATGAATTTGGGTTGATGCTGAAAGCGGAGACGGAATGAAAGTGGAGATAATATGACATATAAAGACGTTTTATTTTCTGTCTCCTACTGTACAGTCAGTGCTTAATGCTTCTCTTAACCGAGAAAACCAACTTTGCAGGATGTTATTTTCCACAAGAAACTATGAGTTGTTGTGAATTAAGAGATCGCTTCCTTCTGATTAATCAGCAGATTTCACAGCACAGATATGTGCCACGGGCTGCAAGGTGGTTCAGTGGTTAGCATTGTTGCCTCGCAGCTAGAAGGTCGCCGGTTCACATCCCGGTGAGGATCTTTCTGCGTGGAGTCTCCATGTTCTCCCCGTGCAGCGTGGGTTCTCTCCGGGTTCTCCGGCTTCCTCCCACAGTCCAGAAACATGCTGAGGTTAATTGGTGATTGTAAATTGTCCGTAGGTGTGAATGTGAGTGTGCTTGGTTGTCTGTCTCTAAGTGTGATAGACTGGTTACCTGACCTTCCAGCCCCCCGCCACCATAGTGAGGATTAAGCGGTGTACAGATAATGGATGGATGGATATGTGCCACAGTCTTACTCTGGATTGCTGCGTCTAAACTTCCCAGCTACTTCTCCTCTTCTAAGACTTCTAGACAACACTGACATATTGATTGAATTTAAATGAGTATTTAATACTGTTGGACCAGAGGCTTTTTTCCCTTCTTTTTTTTCTTTTTTAGATTTTATCTCTAAGAAAAACACATTTCCCCCTCTGTGTTCTCTCTCTCTCTGTATCAGCCTGTGTCATTCTCTAAACTCCACACTGAACACGAGCCCGGGCTGCAGCTCGGCCCAGAGGCAGCGCCAGCCAAAGAAACACAGTTTTCTGGTTCAATCTTTAACATCGATGAGGGGTTAATGTAGCGCAGCTGAGACTCAGTGTCTGCTGGGTCACTGATAATAAATCTGCTGCATCACAATGGCTCTGAGCAAGGCGCTAAACGCTTCAGCTTTTAGTTTTGGTTGATTGATCTTTTAAACTTCGACAAATGAATCCACCGACTGAGAGTGTGAAGCCCGCAGGATGTGTACCACACAAAAAGAAGAATCTGAAAAAGGGGAGTTTCACCTGGGTTTGTATATTTCTTCAATAGAAACTTCTTACTTTGCAGACTTGGAAGATCTTTCCCATACTGAAGATTTGCCTCCATGGATAGACAGACAGACTGAAGACGGACTAAATATATTTTAATGCTTTTTCTTTGGACTGAATTATCCATCTGAGCTGGGGCTAGACAATGCATTATAAAGAATGGAGGCAAACAGCTTCCAGTATTTGAAGTTAAAGGTAGTTTGACATTTTAGGAAAGGTGCTGAGGTGCTTTATTGTGAAGAGTTCATCAGTACGACCCTCATGTCTGTACAGCAGGGCCAGGTGATATAAATGCTGGATATTTAAGAAACACCAGCAGAATTTGAATCTAAGCTGAGACACTGTAGCTCAGTGGTTCCCAAAAAGACAGTCAGGCTTGTCAAAGGGTCCAAGGATGTCCTCTCTTCAGATCATTAAAAATCTTCGTGAACCGGCGACCTTCTAGCTGCGAGGCGACGGTGCTAACCACTGATCGACCTTGGCATTACATTGAATCGAACCACCTTATTTAACAAGGTGGCCGTGGACTAGCAGGCCTTGGGAGACCTGCATGGATGTGAAGTGATGGATGGCGAAGGGGCTCTGCTATCGAGGTATGAGCCAGGGAGAAGTTTGCATATCTGTTATGTGCCTTCATAGCAGTTTGCATCTGATGCATTTACATGAATCAATCAAACATTCTATTGAACAATTTTCCTTTTTCTTTGGATTAAGTGTCTGTATGTTGTCAGATGTTGCGACTACCTTACACTAAATGTCAAATTACTGTCAACAGCTGGTTTGCTTCGTACAAAGATTGAAAACGGGGAGAAACAGCTAGCCTGGCTCTGTCCAAAGATAAGAGGATCTGCACCTTAAATTGCAAAATAAAAATTGGGGTAAAAAAAAAAATGGCAGAAATGACTCCAAACATAAAAAACAGGCTTTGTATATGATAATAATTGGTGTGTTTTAAAGGCATTTTTGGGCAGATTGTGTTACCTTTGGACGCTAGATGGTTCCTCCTGTTTCTGGTGTTTGTGCTAAGCTCGGCTAACTGGCTGCTGTTATTTACCATGTGCACACAAGTGGTATCAATTTTCTCATCTAATTCCAACCAAGAAAGTGAATAAAACTTCTTTCCAAAATATCAGACTACTTCTAAAACCAAAAGCCGTGCTGTTGTAAAAAACAGCTCCGACTCTGGATGGAGCCTCACCTGCGCTTGCGCAACTTCTTGTTCTCCGTCTTGAGCACGTGGAGCTTCTTGGCGAAGCAGACGATGATCATGAAGAGCAGCAGGACCACCAGAGCCGAGGCGCCCACGGCCAGACACATCACCTGGAACTCGGTCACCACCGACTCGCAGCGGGCACCCTTGTGCCAGATGTAATCCTGGACGTTACATCTGAGACAGAGACAGAGAAGAAAGAGCGGGTACAGAGGACAGGTTGAAAGAAAAAATACGAGCCAGGTGAAGAGAAAAATGGAGGTCAGGGGAAGGAAACAGAGCAGAACAAAATGATAAATGACAGAGGAAAGGTTTTGAGATATGGAGACGTCGCGGGGGGAGGAGAGAGGAGGGAGAGGGGAAAGATAAAAGGTGTGAAATGAAATTTGGTGAGAGCAGAAAGGGAAGAAAAACAGAGCGACAAAAGAGGTCATGATTAGTGGGTTGAAACCACATCTCAGCGATTCCTCGGAGCATTGTGTGTAAGCGTGTCAGTTTTAGTTTACGGCAGTGATCATTCATACATCTGGCTTTTAAGCACTACTTGAATGCCTCCGTGTGTTTATGAATGTTCAGGATTCGCCCTCTGCTTTTGATTATCTTTAATTACTTTGGTGTGGAATCTAAAACAAATAAACAAAACTTCAAAAATCCCGCAGCATGTTGCACGTTACATAAATCTTTATGGTTATCGTGAAGTCATCTACTGCAGGAGCGTTAGCCGGCCGCAGGTTTTGAACGACGCTTTATTCAAAAGCCATAATGTCGCCGCTTTATGTGTCTGAAAATAGAAAGTGAAAAAGAATAAACAGCCTGAGGTGATGTTCTGTCTACAAACACACCGACGGTCACACGTAGTCTCTGTGAAACATACATGGTCAGAAAAGACGTTTATCAGAGCTGGCACAATGCATAAGGGCATCCATGTGTGGATGTACATTATGGGCACATGTGTGGACGCAAACACACAAAAAACACACACACACACACACGGAGGCCATCTGAGTCCCAGAGTCCCTTCATAGCCGTTTGGCAGAGTACAGTGTCTGCCCGGGGACATCGACAACAGAGGCAGATGGCTTCGTCTACAGACTGTTTGGCGTGTAAAATGGCAAATCTATTTTACCACTTAATGAGACTATAATGGCTACCGAGCAACGCTGCCTCACTGTCACATGAGTGGAGAAATGTGTGGCTTGTGTACGTGACCAGAGGACATACTGAAAACATTCCCATTAGAAGGTTTATCTCTGGTTTTAGAGATATAGCAGAAGACACTTTCACTGACTAACCCTAACCTGCTGCGTGGGTTAAAATAATGGTTTCATTTAGTTTCTTCGCTTTAGACGAGCAGAGTTAGATGAGCACATCAGTTCAACTCTAATATCTGAGATGAAGCCATAATGCATTTAGCTTGATTCGCATAAAGGTTGGAACCAAGGGTAAATAATGAGTCTGGCTCTGCAACTTGACAAACATGACGATGAACACCTCTGAGGTTCACCGCTAAACACAAAATGCTGTTTCACGGAAAGTTACATGCTGTAATTATCTCTAGATGAACAACAGCTGGCTGCAGTTGGTTTTCGTCGTGAGGTTGCCAGGCAACCAGCAGAGATGCTGCACAGAGTCGCCGGGTGGACGAAGAAACCGTTATTCATCAAGAAATAGCTAAACTCACTCTAAGGCTGTGATATAATCTGTATTATGGTGCACTTTTGATATTCAGACAGAGCGTGGTCACATGTTTCCCCCTGCTTCCAGTTCTAAGGCTTATAGATGATTTAAAAAAAAAAAAAGATGGATGTAGCAAGTGTGACATCACCAATCGGTTTGTGGACTGATGCTATGAAGCCCTGAGTTTAGAATTTGTTCATCTTGAACTTTTAAAACCAGCAGGTGGATCTGAGTGGCGATCCCACGAACACTATGCACAGTGATAACAAACTGTCAATCACAAGTTAGCTGGCGAGGTCAGTGTGAAGCGTCTTGAACTTGCATTCTTTCTCATGTCCAGCAGGGGGCGACTCCTCTGGTTGCAGAAAAAAGTCACATTGTCACAAGTCTATATGAAAATGACTCAACTTCTCCCTTGATTTGTTATCTCAGTAAACATTTTCCTGATGGGTTTGTTAACTCAATTGCTATTTTTGAGGCTTCCTTCATACAGAATAATGCTCATTTTGTAAATTATGGTTCAATTAAGATTAAAATAAACAATAAAGGAGGATATGTTTAAGGATGGGGCTTCCATTTACATCCACCATTCGCTCAACACATTAGAAGATTCACATCCTTTACTCTTCTCTGACCCCATCAATAAACATGATTTAAAGGGTATTTCTATAAAATAACAAACAAAAAAGGGTGCATATTTACAGCTGCACTTCAGAAAGAAAATCAGATTTTCTTGTTGTTTGCGACACTCAAAGTTTTCCATCAGCCTCCGTTCATGAACAAAACGACGACAGAAACATTTTCATTCGGCACGAAACCACATTTCCGACCGAATGCATAAAACGCTGCGCTGATGTGATCGCACCGCAAAAATGAGTGATAAGGAACTTTAATTAGCAAAACAATTAACTGCATATCCCCTCTTTTCCTGTCACCTATTGGACTGGAGATCAACACGCACACACAGATGAGCGAATGTAAAGTGAACGGAGGTGTCGGGGTGTACGGACGCTCCGGCTACGCTCTCTACATGCTAAGCAGGCTTCTTTCACCGGCCGACTTCCTGCATCCTTCCTGAATCCTTCACGCCTTTATTTTACCAGCTAAAGGGAAGCGCTGGCAACGAGCCAGGAGACATTTTGAGTGTGGGCATATGCGAGAAAGCGAGAGAGCGAAAGAGAGAGGAGCGATGAAGCCCGATATCACATTTTCTAGGAGACTTCGATGCACTCAACCTCCGAGTGTTTCTGCGCTCGCACAAAGGAGAGGTTTATGTAAGTCGGAGTTGGGTGGAGGGAGGGAGGGAGGGAGTGGGTGGGGGAGGGATGGAGTAAAAAAAAAAAGAGAGAGGGATGCATAAAGTGAAGAAGCGAGGATGTGCTGGTCGCCATGGCAACCCAGCTGAGCGGCAAACGGAGCAGACGCGGCGCTGATATGTCATGCCATCACACGCATGCATCTTCGCTGAGCCGTCCACAGGGACACAATTCTGCTTTAGTGGCCAGCTCCCCATTTTCTTGTCCTTCTCCCTCCCTGCCTCCCTGCCTCCCTGCCTCCCTGCCTCCCTCCCTGCCTCCCGCTCCTTCGCTCCTGCTGCTCGTCTTCTTGAAGATTTCTTTTTCTCCTTCACTGGCTCTCTACCTCCTCGTCTTCCCTCCCGCCCTCCTGCACTTTGCCGAGCGCCTCCAGCTGAATCTCGTCTCTCCTTTCAGTTTGTGCAACTGGGTTTTTTTTTTTTTTCTTTACTTTTCTTTGACATTACGAGGGAAAGTGAGTCGTCCAGAGTGAATGTTGTGATCTTGTTATAATTGTAAAGGAATGAGGAAACCAAAGCCAGCGATGAGCACTGCTAACAAGTATGGACTGTGTAGCCAAAAACTGATATATCTTTTCCCTCTAAGCTACAGGGCTCCATTAACGTCCAAAAGGTTTTGAAAAGACTAAAAGTTTACAGTCCTGCCTGTGGCTCTGTGCGGTAAATACTTACACTAACATTCTCACAGGCTCTACATGATGTTATCACGTGAAGCAGGTGTGATGTTCACCATCTCAGTTTTGTTAAACACACAAAACCAAGACTATGACTTCATACTTCATTGTGAGTACATTTCTGCCACTGACGCTGTCTCTTAAAACACTTGTTAGGGATGAATGTTGGAAAAAACAACTCGCTGGAAATCATCTTTGTGACATTTAAGCTGGAGAGAAATTACATCAGATGGCTGTAGAGTAAAGGACCTGCTTCGTTCCAACAGAGGGAGGTCTTCCCTTTTGGTCAATACGGTTAAAGATCAATGTCTTCACCAGCAATCAATTAGCTTAGCATTAGGAGCCGCAGACAAGGCAGAGAAGTCAAAAAAGCACCGGGAGATGACTAACATGTTATTAGTTCTGGGGTTGTTGCGGGGTAGGTGGTGCTGACAATAAGATAAATACACAACGGATTCAACCCTATCCATTAGAAAATAGCTTAACAAGATGACGCAGGAGGAAGTCGCTCTTGGCTGACTTTTGAAGACAATCTTTAGGATTGGATTTCCTCCTCCTCCAAAAATCTCACGTCTAGAGCAGCTGCAAGGAGAAGAAATCAAATTGGGAATGACTCCTCATCGGGGACGAGAAAAACTTCTCCTGTCAAAAATCTTTCAAAAGCACCCGACTCGTCTCCTCTGCGACGCATCGGCCTGCTTCACTCGTTCCCGCTCCTTCCCTCCTGTAAATCCTCCCACGCGTCCCACAGGCCTTCCCATTGTGTCCCACAGCACAGTTTTTTTCCCTCCCTAACCCGTCATTATCTCCCTTGCCGCGGCTCACCACAGACGCATTTAAAGCGACGTCGCGGCCCGGCAGGAATACAGAAGAATTAGCATTGGGGCGGCCCAAGCCACATTACAAAGCGCTCACAAATCCTCTCAATATTTACCTGATTAGGCCGGCCCGCTGGGCCAAGGGAGGGAGAGGCAGACATGGCATGGAAAAAGAGAGAGTCTTTAACTTGCAGAGGATGACAATGGTGCAGATGGGGCTGTGGCCCTCTAATAAGACCCCCTGTTGGTTTTGATGAGGGGTAATGGAGGCTGAGAATGGAGGAGACGAGGGGGGTAGTGAGAAGAAATCCAGGGCAGGACAGGGGAGCGTGCGAGGGTCATGCAGGACTGACAGGTCCGAGGGTTTAGGCCTAAACCTCCATTCAGATCCACTCACTTATCGAATATACTGACACATGGACCTCAGACCTGCAGCAGTAAAACCAGACCCTACCACACCCGGCTCTGCTGAACAGAGTCTGGATGGTCCATGAACCAAGTGAACCCATGAAGACCTCTGATGGAAGCACTGAAGCTTTAGGATTGTGCTGCTTGTGTGATAGTAGGGCTTGCTCTCTGTTTAATGTTTAATGCTCACCTCAGGGGGGAAGCAGGGTTTCTTTTGCCGTATGGAGGGAGAGCAAGCAGATGTATTTTTTAAAAAAAAGGTCTTTGGAAAGTTAGAGCGGGAGC